AAAATGTGTTGACAACAAAGATTAAACCAGAACGCACATCTCAATGCTCGGCGTCAACTATTTGGTAGCGCAGCTTCCATAGTGCTGCAGCTCCGCAATGCGGGAAGCACGCTAGCCTTGACGACGTAGCATAAAATAGTTGACGCGGACTTGTCTTTTTTTTTTTTTTGTAGACATTTGTACTGCATTGAGTAGCGAGCTATTTGTAAAAGACAGCTTACGTATCGGATGCGAATCCCAGCTCAGCACGCCACAGGCAGTGAAAGATGAGAATATCGTACACTTTGCTCCGCGTGATGTTTTCAAAAAAAGATACGGTTCAGGGTCGACACCTGTTACCAACGAGAGATGCATGGTTGCCGCGTGTAGAGCAAAACACTTTTATGATTAGGTTTGTGTATAAACGCATCTGCCCGAAAGGTGTCACGCACAAAACTAGACCAGGTTTGCGATGTCGATCCGAAATTTGTATCGTTTCAAAGTTCTTAGACTTAGGCTTAGCTCTGGTTCAGCTTCGCGGGACAGAACAAAGGTTTGAACCAAACCAAACCGAAAAATGCCGCAAACATAAGGTTTCGACATTTTCTAGGCGGGAACTATATATAAGCTTTTGGCTTAACAATAAATATGCGGACAATGATAGACACATTTGAAGTAACAAAAATTAAGAAAAGAAACGTATCGGGAGCATCGTCTGAAGGCGTAGTTGACTAGCGAATGAAAGCAGACGACACGCAGACGAAATCCGTCGGCGGCAAGGGCACGTTTGCAACCGCGTTTTCTTTTCTTTTCGTCATTTCAAAATTTCTCATCATTGCCCGCATTTATTTTTAAACCAAAGGTACGTTACAAACAGATTATAGTATATTTTAATAGACCACGGTCATCGCGGGCAGTCTTGATATTTTCAAAATGAAGCCGGAAGGAGCTCTAGTCGTAGTGCCATCTATCGATGCGTGCGCCAAACACGCTCCACCACTCGACTCAGTCGTTAGCGTCACCGTCCGTCGTTGACCATAACAAACCTTTTGGCCCTTTTTTTTTTTACAGAAAGGGAATTACGTTTTGTAATTTTACAAGGTAATACCCACCTGTGAAATACATTTTTGACAAAAAGTTTAAATTGCTACGTGCAGGCGCCAATCTTCACGGCCAATTTTAGATTGAGCCTAGGCTTTTCAAACACCCTATATTTTAAACGTCAACTCGTTTTTTGTTGAGTATTGCCCCGCGCGTGGTGCAATCGGCAAGGCACGTGGCTGCCACACGCTCGGCTGGATCTTTCTTTTATTAATTTGTACTGTTTTGAAAAGTTCCCGTCCATCTAGGCAATCATTGAGTTTTCTGGTTTAGAACATTTCTGCGTGTACCACGCATATAAAAGCAGCAGCAACGCGCTGCTTCGCTTCGGGTCAGTCACACTTCCGTCACCGACGCAGGATGTTTTAGTTTGTGGGCGCAAGCTCGCCTCATTAGACATTTATTTTCAATTGTACACCCGTTCATCATTTTCCATCCGTGATAAAATTAGAAATAAGTAGACGTTGGCTCACGGAGAATTATCGTCTTCTCTCACCATCGCTAGCGTCATATTCTCAGAGTTTCAGCTTTCTGCGATGCGTCATTTAATTACGCCGACCGCCAAACACGGCTCGTTTTTCTCGCGAACAGCCGGTACTTCACGGCCGGAGGCTGTTTCAAACCGAAACTCATCGGAAAAAGATCGACAATGCCATAGATATATTTCCTCCCATGCCTGGAGTCTCGGAAATGACGTCATCTGTGATACAGGATAATTCGCGCCTCCAGCTCGCTCGCCCTCCCGCGGCAGAAACGGGAAGCGTTCTTGAGGGTCTCCCGATTCTCCTTCTCAGCGGGCACAGCTGAACTGTTCGCTATCATGGCTCGCGAAACGTCATTTCCGAACGCAAACGACACTCTTCACTGTCGCAGCGTAGTGCTGCAGACGGTATGGAATTTACCTTACTACAGTTCGTTGCAACTCAAGAACGAAGGGCGAGGACGAAATTAAGTCCCGTACCGAGAATTAAATCTAAAATAGAGATTAGTTTCGGTTTCGCTTCAGAGTTAAAGCGTGCCACCTGTCGTAAATATTATGCGCTAAACACCGTTTATGTTTTCAGGATAAAGAGGTGACCTGCGCTCATAGCACCCTGGCTGTGTTCCAAATCTTAGCCAAATGAATCCGCTTACTCCGGCGGGTCGTGTCACGTTACAGTTCACAGATTCACAAACGCTGGACGCGAGTAGGTTTTAAAACGCCAAAGTAAAAAAAAAAAAAAAAATTACCTTGGAGTAAAATCGAGTAAATTTTGGAACACGGCCTCCTATAGCTTCCTCTATTACCAGAAATAATTTGTGTCGCTCTGCGAAGCCAGCACACTAGACAGGCTCAGCAGCGGCAGGGCTCTGAGCAGCCGGCACGCATTTCCGACCCTCACTTTAACCACCATTTTGGAAAAACGAGTGGCGCCACCTATTGTGAGTTGGAGTCACGAATAGTGCCCCTCCAGCACTATCCTGGCATGGTACGAACCTGTGTCTTTTACGAGAAAAGCTGCGGATGACGCAGACTTCATAGATTTCTAGCACTATTTGATGCCTGGAACGTGCCTCCAACTGGTGTGTTTACCGTGTCTCAAGAGGTGGTCCCTCCATTTCCGCCTGATGACGTCATAAAAGTGCCATATTGTGACGGTCGCGATCCTAACAGTGTCCCCACAGCGGTGGTGAATACGAGAGACAATTGTCCAGCTGCGTGTCGCCCTACAGCTCGACATCAGTCCACGAAAGCTTGTGCAGCCAGGAGGGGGACGTCTGGGGGGACGCAACGACGACAGAGACACTTCTATTCACTCGTAGTTTTTATGGAGGCTTCCAGCATCAACTGCCAGGATCGCGACATCCGATAACATGACAGGCCGGCTTGTGTGACGTCACTTGTGTCCACTTCGGTACTATTTTGATGTATGGGTGGAATAGGGTACGCTAAACACACCCCTCGGAGTGGATTCCGTGCATCGTATAGTTTAAGCATAATTGAAAAATGTAAGCCGAATTCGCTGAATCCGCGGCCTGCCGTCCCTACTGCAAGTATGACGCATTATATATATCCCTGGAGGTTCTCGTGTTCAGACTTTCTTTCCGGAATAGCTGAAACTTGACCTTTACGTTGTATCACGAGAGAAGCCTCGGGAGCGAAAGCTCGCGCTGCAGAACCCAGGTATCCTGGGTTCAATCTGCACCCCTGCCCGTTTCGGTCTGGATGAGCATCGTACCGGCGTGCGGTCATGTATCACTACTGCGTGAGCAGGTTAAAGACCCCAGGTTAGCAGTCGTACTGCACTGGCGAAATTGCTCATCTACCTTGTGAACCAGTGTCGCCCCATCCAAGCCTTGGCTTAATACCCAATTGTTCTCTTTGCACATACCACGAGATAGGTTGGGGTCTTCTGCGGAGGTGTCCACACCACGGCTGGACAATTGATCCATTGACCATCCGAATAATCGATCAATGATTTAACCGCAATAAATTTATTCAAACGGTTAATTGGTTTAATTTTGCGTTAGGAATTTCGGGAAGAAAGTGAAAATGTTCGCTTCTACTTCGTGCGCATTTATGTACTTCAGAATGCAGCACTGCTGTATTCCACGGTAAGACACTTTAGTATACCCTATCGTTGTAATCCAGACTGATTGTCAGGCTAAATATAATGTAAAATATTGTATTGTTAAAATGATTTGCCCTATTTCTTTATGTGTGGAACAGCCTTAAGTTTCAAATTAGGTGTACGTTCGCTTATAAATGACATCGCAAAAAAAATCTTTTTTGATAATACGGTTGTAGATAAACACAACCAATTTTTTCGATTAATAAATTGATTAAGTGGTAGCGATCAGTAGGGTTAAAACGTTTTATCCACGCCCAGCCCTATTTTACTTACGCAGTACATTGATGGGAATAAGTCGTGCGTGTCACAAATGCAACGAGGCGTGCTTCAACTGGCTGCGCCGCCATTCGCAAACACCAGATGGCGTGTAGGTCAACTGAGATTATTCTAAGCTTAAATGGTAAAACAAAATGGCTAGGTGGCGTAAGCTACCGCCCGATCCAAAGGGCTCAGCCGGGTTCATCCATCCATCCATCCATCTATTAATCCATCCATTATTAAAGGTCGCACAGCTGGAAACCGGCATGTTCCGCTTACCCTCAAGAAAGGCCAACGCGGCTCACGGTCCGGAGAGAAGACATTTTCCTAAGCCAACGTTCTCGGTTTGAGTTACCCCTTCCTGCCGTCTTTCTTCGGTTAAATCCAGGATCCACAGACACCGCAGGGTTCACGAGGAGTGATCGGAAGAAAACAAACTTGAAATTGACCTAATTACCAAGTAGTTTTATTTTTATTGTCATTTGCAACAGTCCCCAAAAAGTGCGTCACAACAAGAACAAAAGCACAAAGTTTTCCTTACTGGAGTGGGGCGTTGGTAAAAAAAAAGAAAAAATCCTTAAATATATTTTTACAGAGAGTGTCGTTCAATGAAGTTATAGAAATATGGACATAAGAAGCTACAACCTGCGTTCCTTAGGGTCTCCGCGACTGTAGCCTTCAGAAAGCGAGGACAGACTTACCGTGTCGGCCACAAACCGGTTCAAACATTCAGGCGAAGAAATCTATTTGATAACTTTAGCAGACGACACAGTCATTGCCTGAATGAGCCATATAGTGAACGAGCTATACGTCATCAAGCCATTTTCTTGCGTTTATTTGTTTTGAACATAATAATTTCTCAATGGGATTTGACGGGCATATATCACTCGTGATTTGTTAGTTTGAATTCCCTAATTTCTTTTGCGTACTTTTGTGTAGACAAAAAAGGTGTCTACATGCATGTACCGGTACCTCTGCCACACTGTATGAATGACGTGAATTTTATACAAAAGACTGGTAGAATAACCAAATTGACTTCTTTTTTTAGGCTCATTTGGAAACTTTTCTGGCGTGAACAACGAAGTTGTGCCCGATATACTGTGGATCCCCGGCCGGTGTTTCAGTGCAAAACTTGCGGATAACCGCGGCCACGTCCCTCTTGAATTGCGTCTTTAATTCCTCGGGCAGCATGGGTAAAATGGGGTTCAAGGAGCGTTCCCTTTCTGAAAAAGAAAAAAAAAAAAATGATTGCAAAAAACGTTTTTTTTTTTTTTTTTTTTTACGACAGAAAAAAAAAGAAAAAAAAAAGATCGTTAGGTAAAGCGAATTATCTGTCCCAATAACGCTATTTAGCCATGAAAATGCCCCGTGATCTTTGGAAGTGTCACTTCTGAAAGTAATCATGACATGACGTACCCTACCGGAAACTCCTGCATAACTTTTCACTATCTGGATTAGGGAAATGGAAATCTAACTGGAACTGGTTCTGGAAACCTGGAGTCCAGATTGCAGGCAAGGGAATAATTTCTGAAAACCTGGAATCGAGATAGAATCCAGATAGATTTCCAGTTCCATAACCCAGATAGCGAAAAGTTATACTGGGTTTTCTGGAAGGGTTATATACCATGTAACCTCCTGCTCTGTGTCACAAATCATACTTAGTTTTTGGGGACTTGACAAATTTTCGACCTATGTATTCGCCGAGTTTCTTTCCTAGACAGACCACGGTCATTATATCGTCACCTCCTTGATAGCGAGGGCACAGTGCTGGTACTGTGCCTGGAATGCTTCTCTGACTGCTGTGTTTAGCGTCCTATTCCGCCCATCCGTCGATGGGGGGGTCTCGAAGTGGTAACAGATGACGTCACAAAAGCCAGAGTGTCACGCTGTCGGATGTCGCAATCCTGGCGGTTGGTCGTAGAACTTCCGGCAAAAAGCGCGAGCAAACGCGAGTGTCGCTGTCGTCGCGGCGTCCCAACACCTGGCCGCCGAAGCTTCCGAGGACTGTCCAAGCAGGAGAGCGACCTGCAGCAGAACAGGCGCCAGCCACGTCCACCAGCGATGCTGTGACGCCGCCAGTATTGCGGCCTGCGGCAGCGTGACAGTTCCACGGCGTCATCAAGCGGTGCGGAAATCGAGGGACCACTTCATCGGACGCGGGAAACAAACCAGTCAGAGACGTGCTCCAGTCACCGCATATAGTAATGGATTTTCGGCGAAGATGCAAGTTCCACCTGAACGAACACACCTGTCCAAACTGTGCCACCGCGATGGCTTATATAGCAGGTGATATAGCAAACGCAGCCGTATACAGCCTTGTTATATCTATAGTTATGTCACTGACAGCTTCAAATGCGCACAGTCCCGATAATCTTATTATCGCTCCCCAAGAACGAATGACGGAGCAAAAGCATGAGCATACTAAGCGATGGCCTGCGTTTGTTAAGTTGTTCTTGTTAGTCCCTATAGTTCTCTGCAATGAAGAAGGTACTCCGGCAGCTTTTAGCGTTGTTTGTCGCCGCTGTCACACGCAGAGTGCGCGTTTCTACGTGTTTTGGGAGCAGGGAGAACAGTCACCCGCGAGTCTAGTCCCTGGAAAGTACGAGTAGATTTGTATACATACACATACGCGCGATGTGACAGGAGAGGAGAAGTCGGGAGAACAATCAGAGGCGCGTCACTTCGTATAGCCGTTTGAATCGGACAGACAACTTTTCAGACAACATTCATGGCGGTACGTCGAGAGCCGCTGTCTTCACAGATAGGTCTTGAGAACCAGCGTCGTTTTTAGACGAAACTGCACCGCAGAACGTTAGCGAGAAATCGATCCATAGCCGAGGATCTTTTCGTCCGGTCACGCGTGGGCGTCGGCATAAGGAACTATGACAAAGTCTTTACGAAAAGAAAAAAAAAAAATCTTACCGATGTGTTTCTCCACATTTCCGGGGTCTGTGTTTTGGGTCAGTACCTTCCAGGTGCGCGGCTTGAGGTTGGCACCCTCGAGACAGCGCAGCACGTAGGAGCTAAGGTCCGACGCGTGTTCGATGTTTTGAGTTTCTGGAATGAAACGCTCGACGGCCTATACGGGAAACAAAATAGAAAAGATTGTATACACGAGTAAGCGATTCACTCCTCTATAGGCATGTCGCCCTCCACACACAGAACGGTGCACTGGTTATAGGCCCGCGCTTTCATTTGAGTGACGTGCCAAACTATATACTCCGCTTCACTTTTAAGTACAACCGTAGTCGACGCGCGCTGCGATTCGACGGAGTCAACCAAGCAGCTCGAAAAGTGAATCGTCACGGTGCCGCTTGGTTCAAGTCTGAACGCGTGCCTGCGCGTTCACACTTTCATTAGTGAAGACAGAAAGCTCGCGCTGAAGGCGGAGCTTCTAGTCTCAGCTTAAGGGTGAACGGAGTATAAACCAAACCGCAGTCACACAGCTAATACATTTCATCATATACTAAAGACAGTGTACAGACACTGTCTGACGCGTATTCCTTCCTTGTATCACCGGTCCTATCATATTTACCGCACAAAAACTGTCCGTATAGAGATGTTCGAAGCACACGTATTTGTATAACGAAAACCCGCTTATTTCGAACCATGCTTGTGGGAGTGTCCACCGATAAGCCTGTCATCATGTCTGCAGAGAAACTCCGCGCCTTTCGTGTAATATATATGAGTAGGTTGACTGCGGTTAGGGCATCCAGCGATCTTATATACACTCTCGCTACGCAACCAACGAAATTGCGGTATTTGGTGATAAGACGGCCAAAGATCGAGTCACGAAGTTATAAGAAAATGCTTTACTAAGGGGAGGGGGGGGGGGGGGGGGGGGACAAAGTAGGGCCAAATGGGCGCATATACTGTGCCCATTTCTCCCCTGGCGGTTCGGACGTCTCGCGGTGCCGAAGATTGCACTATATATATATATATACTACAATCTCCGGCACCGCTGTGATTGGGTAATTGTATAAGAAGGATTCGATCGCCGACGTAGCACAAATTGTGGACGGCTGCAAGAACCGCGGATCGTAGGGAAAGGAACATGTCCTTCTTTCGTTTTCCTCGGGACCTTTGCGTGTGAGTATAGACGGCGTTTATGATATCCCGTTCCTGTTCTCGATTGATGCATCTCAACTAAATGATGGGGTATATCATTTTAGCCGGTGGCAATGGGCAGTTCGCTGCAGGTCTGCAGATTTTGAAGCCATTTCCAAAAAAACATAGGTCAGATCAAACTGAGCCGGATTCTTTGTGTAACAAACGTGTGTGCTCCTATCATTTTCACGGGGACGACTTCAGCAACCCGATTTTGCATAGTCCGGGGTGAGGAATCGCTCGGAGATAATATTTAAGTGCATGTCTGTACACTGCATTTTATTTACATATTCGCCCTCTTTTGTTTGGCAGCAAGCTCAGTGGCGCCGTCTTTTGGGTAGCCCCGGCACACTTCCGGTCCACGTATACTTCCTAATTTTTTACTCATTCTTTTATCGTTAGAGTGAATTAAGTCTGACAGTGCTATAAGTGGCGATTTTCAGAAGATAGCGTGTATATTTGAAATAATACATAAAAAACAAGCAAAACCTGCCGTTTAGTTCAGAACCGGAAGTGGCTGGGGGGTTATTTGCACACTGGCAGCACCACGTTTGAAGTCACGAGAGAAAGAGCGAATATACTGTAATATACTGCAATATAACTGTAATATAGACTGTCAAAGATCGAAGAGATCTAAAGTGCGAGCTCTCTTTTTCGAAATGGCTTTGTATACTTCGTCCTTCTGCATAGTCTATGTCAGGGGTGGCCACAATGGAAGAAACACATTTACGTGACGACTCTGGCCGCTCTTCCTGCGGGGAGCAAGCGACCAGATCGTGTTCGGAGCTAGCCTCGAACTAGGAGTAGTTAGTTCCGCGCCGCCGCGGAGGGCGCTGAGGTATGAGGTCCCTCCTCGGCGGCCACGGTGTCGGCACGTAGCGTGCTCGCCTTTTTCGCGGTGTGATGATGGTGTGCGGCCAGTGGCTGGCCTCGTGTTTTGCTTTGGTGCTGTGTCGATCACAGGTGCCACCATCCTGCACGAAGGCCAGCCTTAACCCGAAGAAGGAAGATAACACAGATTTACGGACTCTGGCGACTTGGAGGCGAAGTGGCGGCGGTGAGGTGCGACAAGAAGCGGTGAGCGAGGGAATACGGTACCAGCGCTTGGAGAAGCAACCGGAGCGGTCGGTTTGGGGGGGGACCCTAGAGTTCCTGTATAGGCTCCCTACGGGAGCCAGAGTTGCGCATTTGTTTTCCCCGCGCCGCCACGCCGCTATTCGCCGAGATCCATCACGTGAGGAGCAAAGCATCCGGTGGCGTGCAAGAAAGCCACCTTTACGGTCGCTCCGCCGACGTTTCTCTTGCCCCGGCGTATGTTTCCCTGCTTTCTGCCTCCTTTTCCTCCTTTCCTGTTTTCCATGCGCGGCGGCGCGCGCGGCGCCGCTATTCGCCAAGTTTAGTCACGTGAGGAGCAAAGCATCCAGCTCGTGCGGGAAAGCCGGCGCTACGGCCACGCGCCGAGGCGGAATGCGCAACTCTGCTACCGTAGGTAGCATATACAGGAACTCTAGGGGACCCTATACTTGTGCGCCATCTATCCCCGTGCGAGTGAAGCGCGCTTGGCGCGCCGAACATAATCTGGACGCCGCGTCGGACAGGGAGTCATCACCTAAATGTTTTTCCACCGTGGGGATGGCCAAGCTGCGGCTCGCGAGCCACACGCGGCTCTTGGCGTGTTAAAGTACGGTTCACGGCTCCCTCCCCTACCCCTCTACCCCCCTCCCCCGCCTCCCTCCCGGTCACGTGAGCACTTTCCCAGAAAGAAAAATGAAACACGTATCAAATCGAAAAACAGGTTGCGGTTTGGTAGACTTGTGTTATTTTTACATTGCGTACAGTTGGACTGCTTTTGACTCGGATAGATTGAAAGTAGTTCGAGTTTCGTTCATTGCTCTTGACAAAAGTTTGCACCCCCCCCCCCCTCCCCCTTTCTGTGGCTCTTGGAAGTTTCGTGGTATTGTTTGCGGCTCTTCGGCCGTCAGCCCGGCCACCCCTGGTCTATGTTATTACAATATCGATGATCGAATCATTCGGATTAGTCCAAAATGGTCCAGCCTATCAAAATACAGTTTTCTTCTGGAGAACAGCTTTCCACATCGTAAAAATTTATAGATGCAGACTTTTGGCATGAAAACATGCTTGAGCTCCACGAACTCATTAACAACCATTATAACACGCTGTAAGTATTCGTGGTGCGCGCACGCTCTCACAACCAATACGTCCCGATTCTGCGATTTCAAAAACAGTGTATTGTACACCGCAGGCTGAAGCAAAACAGAATGTTAAGTTGGGCTAGTTGGTTGTTCATGACTGGAAGGGAGCGCCGAAAGACAGGGACAAAAGAAGTAGGTAACGACGACACGTGGCGCACTCGCAACTGAAGGTTTATTGGAAAATACAAAGACTTAAATACTATAACAAACCACTTCATTTCCTGTCACCCCACTCTCTCTCTAAAAATAGAATCTCCTTATCTAACAATGCCACAGACGGCTCGCTGACGCACTTGTCAACGCCCCTTGTTTTGATAATGAATGCTTCGTGTACTTCCCTTGTGGTTTTATCGCTGTGTCGTCCCAGGATGGCGGTGTTAGTAAACAAAGGTGTGCACGGGCATCTAGCGCAATGTACTGCCAGATGCCCTGACGGCGTCTGTTTGACAGCTGACGCATGTTCTCTTGCACGTTCATTGACGCAGCGGCCAGTTTGTCCTACGTAGGAACGCCCACATGATAATGGAATGTCGTAAACAGGCAGGACAAACAAGGCAGGACGTGGCGAAGGTATCGCCACGTCCTGCCTTGAAGCAGCGTTGAAGAAATCATGTGAACATGAAATGGGCAGGAGTTTTCTGTTGCAGGTTGATCGCCTATTAGCTGCGGGTTTCCCGGGAAGAACACTTGCTGATGCAGCAGATGGATTGAAGAGAAAGTTTAGAGGCCTTCCACAGAAAGCTCATGAAAGACCAAAAGGTAGACCAGCAATCATACCCTACCTTCATGCCGTATCCCACAACCTGAAAAAAGTGGCGGGGCGCTTCAACGTTCCGGTGGTTCTCACGGCCCCTAGCAAACTTTCGTCTTTGTGCAAGCGAATTAACTACCCACACAGGGACAGGGAAGAATGCACAACAAAACACAAAAATAAGTTTTTGGAATGTTCATCCTGTGTCGTTTACGACATTCCATTATCATGTGGGCGTTCCTACGTAGGACAAACTGGCCGCTGCGTCAATGAACGTGCAAGAGAACATGCGTCAGCTGTCAAACAGACGCCGTCAGGGCATCTGGCAGTACATTGCGCTAGATGCCCGTGCACACCTTTGTTTACTAACACCGCCATCCTGGGACGACACAGCGATAAAACCACAAGGGAAGTACACGAAGCATTCATTATCAAAACAAGGGGCGTTGACAAGTGCGTCAGCGAGCCGTCTGTGGCATTGTTAGATAAGGAGATTCTATTTTTAGAGAGAGAGTGGGGTGACAGGAAATGAAGTGGTTTGTTATAGTATTTAAGTCTTTGTATTTTCCAATAAACCTTCAGTTGCGAGTGCGCCACGTGTCGTCGTTACCTACTTCTTTTGTCCCTGTCTTTCGGCGCTCCCTTCCAGTCATGAAGCAAAACAGCATGCCACCAAGGAACTCGACAACGGCCCTGCAAAACAGGGCGCCACAAAAAGCAGGAATTTCAAGGACGTCGCCAGTGGATAAAATTGGTTGAGAAATAAAGAATTGTCAGTGTTTAAATGAAACTGTCCATTTTTATCTAAAGGGTGTTTCAAAATACGACTTATGATCCACACTAAAATTGCCCGCAAATATCAGCAATCTGAGACATTTAGTATGACTAATTCTCTAATACCTGTTTTACTGGTCACATTCGCGCAAAAAAATATTTCGAAGTCTCGACTCCGATTAATATGAGGAAGGAGCTGGCTATGGCACAAGACATTCCTGCAAATCACTTTTTTTGTGCGTATTTGGAGTTGAGACTTGAAAATGTAATGCCGTAATGGGACCAGTTAAGGAAGCATTTGAGGAACGCGAAGTCGCTGATTTAGGCTGCCCATTTTATACCTTCAATATATTTTGGGGACACCTGGTAAAATGACTGCTCAGTCTTATCGTGTTTTTCTGCAGGTGCTCGTACTGAGAAATAAACTACTAGCGGACCATTACCCTTTTAAAGTTGCATAACTCATCAACGCTGATTGGTTGCATCGCGTGCTCATAAAGGCTTCCTACGTTACATTACATATAAGTGTTAGATGTGTCCACAAATTTTTTAAATTTCATATCTCATCAGCGTTTGCTATTTTATTCAAACAGTTGTGTTTGAAGACGCTTTAAATATTATAATTTCCCCCAAACATAATTTTGCTCCAAAAATGTTTAGGGAACATGCTGCGACACATATTGAGCAAACGCTTGCATCGACCGAAAGGCCTGCGGCGCGCTCTTTGCCCACCGGCGAATGTTTGGTAACCGCGGCTTCCATGGCAATAGGTGGCGCCTCCTACCACTTCCAATTCAATAGGAAAAACCCAAGGTTGCTGGTCCTCCAACCATTCAAACTGCGCCAAACCTGTCCGCGCCAAGGCCATTCTATTGTCGGGGAGTTGGATGTACTTTCCCTAGTAAGATATTAGTTATAAGCGTGAAGAAAATAGGCCTACGCTATGCATTTGTTAACCCATACTCCGGCGCTAACAGCGTGTCGTACCAGCAGATCGATTCGAAGATTATACTGCGTGTTATTTAGACACTTCGCCCTTCGGGGTTAGAGACGATAAAAGCGGGACCGAATTCAGCCTTTGCGGTTGCGAGGAACGTTCATCCTTCTTAAGCCGAGGTCACAAAACCCTGAGTGCAGGTGGGCACACTCTGTCTTCATCTTAGATATCTCTATTTTTGTTCCAGCGTTCTTCTCAATAGCATTTAAGCGTAAATTACCCTGTAGCAACACAATGCGAAGAAATTTTCGTTGCAGTGAACGACCATTTAGACTCGAGATTACGCAGTACTAGACGTGGGCATATCGGAAGGTTTTTATCCATGAACACGGTGGGGTTGAAAGGGATGAGTCAAGACCATAAATAATCCGAATGTCGTGTAAAGCTGTGAAACCCTTTTTTTTTTTTTTTAAATTGTGATTCTGAGGTTTGCAACCAAAATAGAAGTTCTCGTAGAATTTTGAGTTCACTTTCTGAATCATTAGGCTTAAAATTAATGACATACAAATGTAATCTTTGAAGAGTTTGCCAAGCAGAGTAGCTTCGCTTGCCTTACGCGTTCGGTTTCAGTTGATAACAGGAGACAATGTATGTATGGTTTATGCATTAAATTTTTAACTGAATGCACTAGGAGGCTCGTGTGTCTTTATAGAACACAGACTGACAGGATGAACTTTGAAGCTGCGCGTGCAAAGATAAGTGGACTCGCTGTTGTGGATTAGTAGGAACCGTTTCATCATTCGCTAAAAGGTCAAAATATAAGAACTAGATGAACGAACACACTCACTGCTTTGTACGACTTCCATCGATCCATTTCCACGATTCTCCTCCACACCGTGTACATCGCGTGTCGAGCCGTGAACACTAGCAAGCACTCGCCGTCGTCGGTCATCAAGTTTGCAACGTTGTGCAGAGCCGCGGTGAGGTCCTCCGTCCAGTTGAGTGCGAAGAAAGAGTAGACGCGGTCAAACTCGCCGTACTTCTGCACGAGTCCCGAGACGTCGCTTTCGATGTCATGTACCTCGTACGTGATCTGCGGATGACCAAAGTTCTCTCTGGCGTACTCCACCATTGCTCGGGAGACGTCGGTGGCCACAATCCTGCGGCAGGGCTGACAGCGCGGCAACAGTTCTTGCCGAGTGAAGTCGCCCGTTCCGCAGCCCACGTCGAGAAACTGCTGGCTGACGTTCGGCTCGCTATCGAACGACATTTGCGCCGAGTCGAGAATTTGGATGTTAAATTTTCGCTGGCCGTGGTTGGCTTTGATGTAGAGCTCCGGAAGAATCGTCGACTCAAGTGGCTGATTGTCGGCAGTGTTAGCATCGGAAAAAGCATTGGCCATGTCGCTGCAAAAGTTTTCCAAACTGCTGAAAAAAACACACACACACACAAAAAAAAAAACGCGTTAAGTTATTGCTCTGGTAGGAATTCCTGTAACATGAGCCTGTAGCTCGGATGATTGACCTAAATTTACGTGATATCGCAAGTAGAAACTGGTCCTGGATCTTTACTTAGTACTTCAATTCACGGTACAATTACTGTTTCGCAGAGGCTTTAGTTTCATCGTTTTGAGCACAGCCTGCTCTCTTTCAAGTGTAAAGTTAAAAAAAAAAAGCAGGCTCTGCTCGAAACGTAGAAAATAAAGCCTCTTCTGTTGCTCACAATTTGTTCTACGTCCGATACTCTCTTGGTAAAGATCTGCTTATTAACACTTTGGATTTCGGTGACTACTAGTATATAGGGGTGAGCAGCGGAAAACGATGAACAATGATTGACACGCAAAACACAAGGAGCGTATGTCTTAAATACCTGATATGAATTACATAACATTAAATTGTCGTGGTAAATAAAAAAACCAAAGAAATTCTAAAATTATTTTTGCAATTTCTTTTGTTTTGTTTTTTGTGTGAATGTTGGTGAATGCGAGGATATGAAAACCTCCAAAAACAATCAATATTTCTTAAATAAATCTCGCTTTTGGATTTGGTACCTATTTCAGATGGACAAATGACGACCGCAAACATGCAAGTCTGCGATTTCGGCCCAACGTTATTTTTTTATAAAATAGGAAAAAGACAGAGCACACACACACACAAAAAAAAGCAAAGCACTCTGATAGTGACAATTAAGCACTTACTGAAATAAATACGTTCTTAATAAATACGAATTCTTATATGTGCACAAAATATATTTTCGAAAAATCAATATTTACAATTCAGCTTTAAAAGTTATGTACATTAGGTTTGAGATGCTTTTGTTACTCTGATGTTTACACAACATTTTTAATGAATCAGATTTCAGAAAATGACAGGATTTGAAGATGCTCAAAAGCTCCAGATAAACCTGTATTCACACACGGGACTATGTTTTAAATGTCTTATACTACCGAGCTGCTTTTCTTAGAGGGCTTTATTCAACCCTAAATCTAGAGTAATGTTTTCGAGTAACAGCTATACTCCGTTTCACTTTATGTACCGTAGACAAGGCTAGAAGCGCGAGCTTATAGCGTTGGGAGCTACTCTTAACGCACGAGAGCTTGTGCCGCCGAGATGTGCCCTGAGCAAGGAGCTCGCGCTTGTAGCCTTTCCTGCGGTACATTATAAGGTGAAACAGAGTATAGTATTGTCTTTTTCTAGATACCCTCCTACAATGCGTCGCCAAATTTCATGAACCCTAGTCTTGAGTCAATACAGCAATGACGAAGCATTATTTATCGACGTCTGCAGATTGACGTGCACAGAAATCCTCTCGCGAATGGTTGAAACTTAATCTTTACAAGGATAAAAAACCGAGGGGTTTATGTTATCTTTCAGCTTCATTGTTCAAAACTGCGCTGGCGAAAAGGATTAAATCAGAACGAAAGACTCTAGAGACAACAGATCAGATCAATGAAAGTGCGACAATTCCCGCTTTGATGCTTCAGGAATAACTTACATGACCTTCACGAATACCGGCGCAGCACAGTGTAGTGTATCCCGGAGCGGATCTTTGGCCCCAAGTCTAGACTCTGCTACGTAATGTTTTACACACTAACAAAACAAAAAAAAAAAAAAAAAAAAAACTGAAAGTCACCAGATGTGTAATTATTACTTCTGTCACAGTACGCGCGTTGCAAAATGCCTTTATGATTGGATTCGTGCACCTGTGCACCGCGAACGTTTTCGGATCTAAAGTTCTAAAGTTGCACCAGGGGCTCGAAAGAAATAGCAATATATTCGAAACTTTAAGAAACTATTGTCGTAAAGTATTTGCCGGCTTTCTATCTTCAAAATTCTTTACGCAAAAAGAAAAAAAGAAAAAGGAAGAAAGAAATGATTTGAGTACATTTAGAAATGCAAGAATATTCGGACTTTAGACAGCCGCTCGAGTGGTTTGTCAGCGCAGTGTCGAACCACCGACGCTTTCACGACTCGACGCATTTGCTTGGCGTAAAGGAAACTGTTAAAGTTCGGACTTTTTCTTACGAAACTTATTCGGAACGGCATTGGAGAACTTCGTACTTGACCGCACCGCGGCACTGGCGTCGAGATGGGGACAGACAGCCGCCAATTTAACCATCACCGCTTGAAGTCTGGCAACTAGAAAATGTTATCGGAATGTCAATCCTACCTGAATAGACCCTTTTTGAAAAGTCAGAGTCACCTTGTGGCAGTTCAAAAAGATCCAGTATTGCCGCTTTAATGGCGGCGATAGGAGATCATGCTCGGCTAAATGAAGTACGTTTGATTTCGTGAATTGAAGGTGACGTAATGAGACCACCGTCTTTTCCCCTTTCTGCTTTATGATTTCGAAGACGTTTGATTTTTTGTCGTGTGGAAGCTATTTAGCGCCACCTAGAGTCACGAGATCCTGGGAAAGTAGGCCAAGCTCCCCGTATGGTCGCCATCTTGGTCCGTGAAATGAGCAATTTCTCTTTGACCTTTCCGTTCTTGGTGAGCAGATCTAAATTTGCTGGTGACGAGTAGCTTTATGGAGGTGTTTCTTGTATACCGAGATTTTGCTATCCTTACCCCGGCGAAACAAGCGTACATCTTTGCACCACCACCACATGCTGTGTCGGTGCTTGGAGGCACTGAAATATAAAGTTTACTGTTTTGAAGTACGCAAGAAGAACAATATTATTGTAAGAGATCCGTGGAGATGGGCATGCTTGATAAGTTAGTATCATACACGGTGCCAAAGACGCTTATATTGGCGACGAACGCTTCCAGTACGATGATGCTCCATGGAGATCTTGGCACGACTGGCTTAGAACGAACCCTGGAAGCTTCGTAGATTTAAATGGACCAAAATGTCGATTTCCATGGCAACGTAGACAGATTAGCCAATCGCCTTGTAAGGTTTTGGTCGTCTGTAGGTTAGTATATGTTTGTGTCCGGCTAGCAGGTAGGCAAGGCAACGGCACCACTTTCCTAGGACCCAGTGACTTTAGTGCCACCATTAGAGAGTCGGGTTATGGTGTTTGGCTCCGCCCAGGGTGGGTAGATTGACTTTCGGAAAGTGTCTGTCACACACCCCTAAATTATGGTGACGCGTCGTGACACTGAAAGTGTTTTGTTAGCGTGCGGATCTTTGGCTCCGTAAACACACTAAACTGCTGAAGGCTTCTTTATCTGCGACAATCTCCGGAAATTATATGATATTTTATTTAATTTTCTTGCCGTAATACTAGTACAGCGCCGCGAGTGGCGGTACCTATGAAAGTGGAGTGAAATACAATAGAAAGCCCGAAGAATGGTGCACACGGCACGATTCTCTGCTGATAATTTCAAAACACCGAGTTTCATCTGCCTGAAAACGTAACAGCTGCGAGTAAACACAGAGGAACAATTTATACCCCTACATCCCGTCAGTGCGTAAGTGCGAACACCCTGTATACCACACTGCTAGTGAATAGATGTGTGCTTGAGGAGCGTCGCAGGTGCACATACAGAGCAACGTGGAACCGAATTTTTGTAGTTGCGGTCACACTATTAACACATCTAACAGAGAACAGCCTGCAAACACTGTCTAAGGCGTGTTTCTTTTTTATGTGATCGTGCTGTCCGATGGGTCACACAAAAACTGTCTGCAGTCATGTTAGAAGCATTAAAAAATGCATGAAACGAACATTCTTCCAATATCTGCTTGATGAGACACCACGGATAATTCTCTCATCGTGTCTTCGGCGAACATCGTTGTCTTTTGCATAATGCATGAGCAGTTTGACTGCAGCTTTGGATTGTTCGGATTAGAGCCACTACGGCTGCGTTGCAAAATTTACTCGATCCGACTCCGGAGTAAAGGTTTCGTACCTTGGCGTTTCAAAACTTACTCGCGCTTACTCCATGACGTCAGAACTCGCGTTCCAGAAGTGGGTAGTTTACTCCGGAGTTAATTACCCACGCTACCCTCCTCGATCGGGGGGTAACGCCGGATCAAATCGACTAAATGCGTCACGTGATCTGTTCGTCGTCTGCTTCCTGCGCCGACAGCCGTCAAAGCTCGTTTGCTCCGTTGGCTCTGGCGGCAGACGTTCGAAATAACAAAGAATGAGGTGCAGCTATTTATGTGTGGTTATTGCAATTTGCTGCTTTCAACGCAGGAATTTATTGCACCAGACGCAGACCGTGTACCTTCCCTCAGGAAGGTATATATATCAAGGCATGTAGTTGGGCTAGTTGGTGGTACATACTGTTTGGTGGGAACAGCGCCCTGTCTGTGTGTTTCTTCGACCTCGTCCTACGTCTTTTTCGCGCTGTTCCCACCAAAAAGGTATATATACTTGTTATTGTCAGAGTGCGAGCGTAAACAGAAGCTTCTCCGCGTCCCTGTCCTCAAAGTTGGAGGGAGCTCCGTTTTCTTACGTTAAAGGGATACTGAACCAAAGTATTTAGTGTCCATAACAAGTGGCGCACGTTCTTCCCACGAGCCAGCAGCCGCCGGTCTGCTCGAGCACACGCAACAAAAATGACGTCAAAGACCTCCATTCGCGGTTAAGATGACAGTGAAATGTAGGGGCTTCGGGCCAAATGAGAATAAAGACAAGTTTTTCATCCACACAGTGGTGTCTGGTGTAAAAGGTAAGCGATTAATTGGTCTAACAAGCACGTGGCTTTCACCTGTAGAGATGAAAAGCCTGTCTTTACTCTCCTTTTGCCCGAAGCCCATGTATTTCAATGGAGGTCTTTGACGTCATTTTCGTTGCGTGTGCTCGCGCACACCGGCGGCTGCTGGCTCGTGGAAAGAACGTGCGCCACTTATTATGGACACTAAATTCTTTGGTTCACTATCCCTTTAAAGGATGGAAATGTTCGAACCCAGTAGATAATGTAAACTTTTTGGGGAGTTTTTCTCCCCAGA